TTGATGATGATGATGATGATGATGATGATGATGATGATGATGATGATGATGATGATGATGATGATGATGATGATGATGATGATGATGATGATGATCTACGAACCTGCTTTGTCGTGCATGAGCAGGTAGAGGCACCAGAAGCCAGCCCCCAGGTTGTTGAACATCACGTGGAACAGGGACAGGATGTGGTTACGGCAGTCGGATTCTGTTTGCCTGTGGACACAGGGTCAAAGGGCGTTCATTTGTGTGTGCGTGTGTGTGTGTGTGTGTGTGTGTGTGTGTGTGTGTGTGTGTGTGTGTGTTAGTCTAGGAGGTGGTCTACCTGTGCTGCTGTGTCAGTGGGTTAGGGTTACGATTAGGGTTAGGGTTAGGTTAAGATTAGGGTTAGAGTTAGGGTTAGGGTTAGGATTAGGGTTAGGGTCAGGGTTAGGGTTAAGGTTAGGAATAAGGTCAGGGTTAGGGTTAGGATTAGGGTTAGGGTTAGGGTCAAATTTAGGGTTAAGGTAAGGGTTAGGATTAATGTCAGGGTCAGGGTTAGGGTTGAGTTTAGGAATAAGGTCAGGGTTAGTGTTAGGAATAAGGTTAAGGGGGGGGGGGTAGGTTAGGGTTAGAATAACAGTTAATGTTTTGGGAGGATCAAGCTTAAGATAAAGGTAAGAAATGATGAATGCTTTACATGTTTTGCCTTTCATCTGATAGGCTATGTTGCAAGCGCTTCACAGTGAGGTTTTTATGGAGAGCAAAGAATGTCGGCCATGACAGTGCAGGATCCTGGATGTAATTCAAGTCTTTGGTGTAGGGGCACTGTTTTTGATGAGTCCTTTCCCAAGTTCATAATACTGGACCGAGCTAAGCCTCTACCCCCTCCCTCCCAAAGCAGCCATATCTCGATCACGAGTCCGGTAGTGAAATAACTAGGCAACTGAAGCCATTACCACCATTGAACTAAGACACTGCTAGAATCAGACTGCGGGTGGCTGGTGGGTGCTCTGGTGTGGTTTGTTCCTTTTTTCCTAAGAAACTTTTATCTTCCTGATCTCTCCCCTTTCTTTATTGTACTTGTTACTCTCTTGTAACACCTCTGAACTTCGGCACTTATGTGACCTATTTGTGTTACACGTGCCGTAAAACTCTTATTACTAAAACTAAAGACTCCAGACACCTTCACTAGATACAAACGCCACCCCAAAAAAGGTAGAATAAGACTCAACACGGCGGGACCTACTCACCCATTCGCCAGGATGAACTCCGTGGCTTTCTTGATGTATTCGCTGCTGTCAGGTCTCCGCAAGATCTCGGGGATGTCCAAAGATGCGTGGAGCTTGTCTCTCGCTTTCCCCGCAGTCGGGAAGATCTGGATGGGCAGCCCGGCGAACAGATGGTAGAAGTAATCGTGGAACTCGTTGTAAACATCGAAGAAGTAGTCTGGGTTCACATTGCTCTTGCTTCCGGGCTCTGGACGGCCGATAAAGGAGTAGAACTGTGAGTTGAAGAAAACTTTGGCTACGACCTTCTGCAGACCTTCCTCGCACCAGTCGTCTTGTAGTACGTCCTTGAACCCTTTGACCCCCGTGAGTTTCTCGTCCGTTTTCTTCATCGTCATGACGCTGTCCTTGTCCAACAACTGCGGCGTCTGCCCGTCCAAGGTGTTGGTCGTCTTCACGTGCTCTTCCGTCTCGGAGACAACTCGGGTCAAGCTCTTCACGAACTCTTCAAAGGCGGAGTACAGAGCCACTCCGTTGAGGTGGTTGGAGATCTTGGCGATGACCTTCTCGTGCTGCTGCAGAGTGTAGCTGAACACGTTGGTGTTGATCATGGCTTTCACGGGGGAGAAAGAGAAGTTCCTCTCGTTGTTGAAGGCTTCGTAGCTTGACACGTCCAGCATGATGGTCCAGTACTTGTCGAGCATTCTGATAGTGACAACGTCGCCATATTTCTCTTTAGCGTCCTGTAGACAAAGTCATAGAAATAATCTAATTAATTATTTAATAAGAGCTGCAGAGCTAGCCTGCAGAAGGAAACTGAACACCCCCCCCCCTTTGACGCTTAATGGCAACAGAGGATAAACAAGTAAGACGGCAATAGAGGATGGAAAAGGAAAAGTAAGTAAGTAATAATCTAATTCATCATAAACGTACAGACATACACTGTCATTATAAAAATGTTAAAAAAATAAATTATCTGACAGACAGGGTCGAAGCAACGCGCCTTCTAAATGGTTCACGTGGTATCAATTGAGGCGTAAAACATCTCCAAAAACTAAAAGGGCAGCTCGGCGAAGAAGGTGCTAGAAGAAGTGGTAAGTTAGCAAACACCGAACGGAAACATGGTTCATGAACACTGCGACTGAGGAATCCACACCTGCGGATACTGTAACAGAAATTTGAATTTTGTTATTAGACACTCTGAGCAGAGACGTCAGTGTGGTATTGAAATGTCAGTATACTGTTAAACAAACAGGGCTTCACATTTCCGTATTCATTGCTACTTTTGTTTTGCTCGCTCGTTTCAAGTATCATCATTTTGTTCGACACATTTTGGTGTAAAGATTCTGCGTCAGCATTGACTCAATAAGTGAGGCATCGTGGTGAAATCAGGCGCTTGTCAAAATAATGAAATCAAAGAAACGGACATTTTTCTGCTTATTCAGCAATTTTGATCGAATTTTTGTTTTTTGGCTCAACACCTTTACCTTTTATGTCCTTGTAAAAGCACATTACTGTGTGGATTTTTACTGAAAAACATTGATTAAAGGCACAACAAATGTAAATTTACAGTTTCCAAGGGCTTTCAAGCTTTGAAAGTCACCAACCTTAGGCGGCCAATTTCTAGCTAATTTTACCTCTGAAACCAGGCGATTCCCACCTGATTCAATCGTAAATATCTCAACTTCTATTCAAGATACATGGGTATTTTTTCATCTAAAGCAAGACTAATAAACAAGGTTTTAAATGAAATCAATTACTCCATATGCCAAAAACTTGTCGACTGCCTGTTTTTACCGCGTCGTGACTCAACTTAGTTTGGGTAGGAGATGGTTTGCTTCTGCTGTATCCTTATCGGCCAACCCGGGTTGTGTTTAGTTTTAGTGAGAGTTTTACTGCCCTTACAACACTTACACTACCTTTAGGCCATTTGAGTGCTGAAGATTACATGTATTACTAGAAAGTAAAATTTAAAAAAAGGAAAAAAACAAAAGGAGCAGAGAAAAGGATGATACATGTTTGATAGGAAAAAGAGAGCAGACCACACCAGAGGAGTACCCGCCAAACGCCAGTTCATTACATTATGAGAGGTGCAACTCTTATGAAATTGAAGATGAATTTCGTTTCATTTTTAATTGTTAAAATTTTACCCATCAAAGGAAGCTGTTATCCCTTCCCCCTCCCCTAT